TCATGAGTGATCTGAAATGTCACCTGAGCTGCTTTAGTCACTCAAATATTTTTGAGCACTATGGGTCCAGGCACTGTTCTGGGCCCTGGAGATGCAGTGGTAAATAAAAGAGAAGTTCCTGGTGTTAGGTAGCTTACATTCTAGTTGGGGAGACAGATAATAAATGTAAATATATATGTCAGGTGATAATAAAATAAGGCAGGGGGAAGGATTAGATGATGACTGTGGCTTGTTTTGTTTTTTGTTTTTCTGGCAGCTAGCCAGTACAGGGATCGAACCCTGGACCTTGGTGTTATCAGCACCATGCTCTAACCAAATGAGCTAACCAGCCAGCTCTGGGGCCTGTTTTAAATAGTGGCAAGTTCTCCTGGGAGAGTTGACATTTGAACAGAGATTGAAGGAAGTGAAGGAGGGAGTTGCCCAGGGTGGAGTAGTACCTGCAAAGGCCCTGGGGCATGCATGAGGAATAAGGAAGCCAGTGTGGCTAGAGCACAAGGAGCTTGGGAGAGGGTGAGAAGGTAAAAGGTAGCAAGGGACCAGTTAAATGACATCAAGCCTTTGTTGGCCAAAGGCTGCCCTTGATTTTTTTTTCTTTTTCTTTCCTTTTTTTTTGGGGGGGGGGGGGGGGGGGGGGCNCTCCAACCCATCTCCCCCACATGCCCAGCTGTGCCTCACCTCTATGCCTTTCCTCTGCTGTTTTGCTTGGGACAGCCTTCTCCAGGATCATTGCTGGGAAACCTTTGTTGATGCTGTAAAACTAGGATAGTGGCCTCTCCTCTTTGCTCCCACAGTCCACTGGACTTAACACTGTTAGCATTTCTTCAGTTATTCAGGGCCAGTGTCCACTCAGTCCATGCCAGTTAAATATTCCTTTTTTTTTTTTTTGGTGGCTGGCCTGTAGGAGTATCCAAACCAAAGACCTTGGTGTTATGATGCTATGCTCTAACCAACTGAGCTAACTGGCCAGCCCAGTTACATATTCTTCAAGTAAAAAACTTTAAGACCTTTTTATTTTGAAAGAATTTCATAATTAAGAAAAGTTACCCAGGGCCGGCCTGTGGCTCACTCGGGAGAGTGCGGTGCTGATAACACCAAGGCCACGGNCCTGGCAATGAGGCCCTTTGATTTTTTATTGAGTGAGACAGGAAGGCACTGGAGGGTTTTGAGTGAAGGAGTGACAACCCTCACTATGTTGTAATAGTAAAATGGTAAGGGATGGGTTTTATATACATTATCACAATTCACATCTACAACAACCCTATGAATGATAGTAATAGCTTATGGTTATATAGGATTTTTATACCCCAAGTCACTGTTTTAAGTTTTCATGTATTAGCACATTTATTTAATCCTCACAAGAACCCTATGGGGTAATTACTATTATCTTCATTTGTCATATAAGGAAGATTAGATGCAAAATGATTAAATAACTTTCCTACATTCATAGGAGTTAGTAAGTGGGGAGATCAGGCTATCTGGCTCTTTACCACAATGTTTTAATTCCTCTCTGTGAAGGAGGTATTCTCATATAGGATAATAATTAACATCTCAACCACACACAGTGGGGAATGTGGCAGAGCTGGGGCTCACGTCCAGACCTATGTGCCCCTATTGCTTTCCTACACCTCCTGAAATCCAGCCCCTCAACATGGCCTCTGGGCCTCCAACCCATCTCCCCCACATGCCCAGCTGTGCCTCACCTCTATGCCTTTCCTCTGCTGT